GTGTGTGATACTAAAATATCAGTGTAAGCTTATTTAATTAAGACTATTTATTGTGAAATAAATTCTATCATTTAGGAATATATCTTTTACAAAGAAAAGGAAACGATTAATTTTCAAATTTCCAAACGATTTCTTTTAAATTAAAAAAGAAAGATAAAAATTCCATTATCATTAAAGTGATAAGTAATAGTTAAAAGTTTAAGAATTATCAAACTAATTAATCTTTTATCAATTATTGATTGTTATTGTTTATTTTTTGGAATGATTTGAAATTTGAATGAATAGTAATATTGATCATTACATTAATAGTAAATTTTTCAACTGACATTTCCATCATCATTTCCATTGTCGCTGTACGCTACAAATTCCTTAGTTTCATTCTTCCGCCTGAATTTTCATCTTTCCTCCACCCCAATCTCTTGTCCTCTTTTTGTCATTCCGCAGTCTATCATATATATATTGTTGTCCTTCCATTCATTCCTATAAATTTGTATGGCAATTATCGACCACTTTTAAGTTGTTCTTGTCACTCAACACTATCCGTACATTCATCTCAAATTTCCTTAACATGTTGAATTCAATTGAATTCGAATTCGAATTGAATTGAATTGAATTGAATTGAATTCCACCCCCATCAAATTTTTTGAATGTTTCAAACGAATAACTGAATGAAATGCTTTTATTTGATAAATTATTTTTACTGCATTAAGTAATGAATTGTTTCAACGATCGAAATCAAAATCGATCATTCGATCATCCTTTCTTCGATAACGTCAAAATTATTCAAATAAAAATGAACACGAAATCCTAAATAAGTAAGTGCTCTCTCTTTCTGTATTGAAGGTAATTATATTATTTTAATAATAGTAAAAAGCATTTATCAAACTTTTTTTACAGGACAATTAAAAATGTGTAATATATAAGAATAATTTATTGATTGATTTTTAATCTATCAGATTAAATTATTTTATTGATGATAATTTATGATTAATTGTAATTTCCGACTAATTCAAGGCCCAATTAAAAATAATATATAAGATATCATATAGTTTGTTGTAAGGCCCTAACTAAATAATATGAAAGGTATCAGATGAATGCAAGAAATGATAAGAAGAAATGCTTATTAACGAAACATTCTTTTTCTTTGCTTCATTACATAAATGTATTTTTAAAGCTGAAGGAAGGAATTTGAAGGGATTTAAATAAGTTTTAGAAATAGTAATGAAAGATTTAAATTTTGTTGATATAGCAGATTCTGTGTAAAGTAATATATTCTTTGAAGATACGGTAAGTTGAGAGATGAAATATGAATGATAAATTATTAAGTAAACTAAAGTTAAATTTTTAATTTTAAAGTGAAGTGCTAAAAGTTAGAGCGAAACTAAAATATTTATTAAAATACTATTAAGTTAAGTTATAAAGTTAATTAAATTTAATTATCTAATGAGCTCTTTAAATATGTAATATAAATTTAAATATCAGATATCATTATTTTTAATTTTTTAATGTAAAATTAAGAATAAAAAAATTTTTTGTTTTTGTTTATATAATTATTTTTATTTGTTTCGGCTTTTTTCTTTGATTCGAAAATTTTTTGGTTAATTTTAATCTTCAATCTCATTCAATGATTATTTTCTCTTCATTAAAAATGACCTCAAATCAGTGAAAGCCATTAATCTCATACCAATTACCTCGTGTACTTTATCAAGTAACCTCCTATTTCGACCTTAATCATCCACCTAACTAACCTTATTCTCATGAATCTCTTCTATCCATTAATGGGTTTGGGTATGTTGTTGCTAAGTAACGATGAAGATTTGTTCCGTAGTTGTAGTATGTTTAGTAAAATGAAATCTTTCATCTTACCACCTTTTCTTACTACTCTTTTCTCTTTCTTCACTACTTTTCAATTAGTTTATGTCTTAATTTTGATTTAGGCCAACATTTAACATTCCAACAAATTTTCTTTAGTTATTTTCATTTCCTCCATATATTTTTCCACTTACTAGTTATAAATATCATTCTAGGCTATTTCTTCACTTTCTAATTCTAATATCTTCTAAGTTTAATGCACTGTAGTAGTATCTGATAACAACAATGATATCCTTATTTTATCAACGATTCTGATATAATACTTTTTTTTTTCAATTTACATTAATTACTTTTATTGTAAGTTATCAATAAGGAAATATTTAAAGTTAACTAAATTAACTTAGCACCTTAATAAATAAACTTTAATAAACATCAAACAAACTTTAAACAGACATTAATAAACTATTTATTGTTTTTAGCTATTATAGGAATGAAAAGATAATGATTAGAAGAGATGATCAATTTTGAATATCATCGATTGCATTCATTATTTCATTCAGTTGAAGAAATCTCTTCCATCATCGAACGGATTTACTATCTGAGATTTTGAATGAGTTAATCCTTTCCACTTCACAATTTAATCTTTTCTAATAGCTTTCAAAATAAATGGATAATAATAAGCAATGTATGAAATCCTTATTTTCATAATTTTATTTGAAAAGAATTTAAAAAATTTCCCAAATTCTTCTTCACTTCATTTATATCGTTTTTATTTTCATTATTGTCGTATGTAAGTTTTCGTTAATTTATGTGAGAAATTTTAGATCATTCAAATTTTTGCTATTTTTGTGGAATGGATTTGTGTCATTAAAATGGGGAAGAAATTATGTGAAAATATAATTTCCTATAATTATTAACTAATTAGAGTTTTGCAAGAATGTTTGCAAAAATTTTATTATGATCAACTAATGATAGAATATTTTGAAATAAATTTTATTCTATTCTTTCAAATTTTAATTCTTTATTTTATATTTCATTCGAAATAGGAAATATAAAATAATATTACATCGATTCATAAATGAAAGAAAAGAAGAGATTTGTAATTTGAGAAGTACTGTAGCTAAGAAGATAGAATAAAGTTGGAGAGTAAAGTGAAACTCATTTGCCGTCAGGTGTCATTAACCTGTTGAACTGTTGTCGCTCAACTGTTGAATCAGCGTCTAGCATAATGTCAATCAAATTGTTGTCGAAAGCATTATTTCCTGAGGAGCTTCCAATAGAGTAAGGGCGTTGCTGTTAGCTTACATGTAATATCTGCTGATATTGGATATCGCTTCTTTGAAACAATACTCCAATTCATTTATAACCAATTTGATCAAACTTCTTCCAATAGAAGATTCTGGGAGGGGATTTTGATTTCCATCTAATTTCAATATATGTTGAAAATATAACTTCGACATTATTAAATTACCGTATAATAATGGAAGATTATTATTGAATTCAAAAGAATTCATTCAATAATTATTAGATTTAGTAATAAAATAAACAGGTAAGCATTCAGACAGGTAAGCAGAAAGTATTCATTCTATTTTATAAATAATATTTATATGAAAAATTTATTTTTGCAAAAATTAAGTTAAATAAAATTAAACTGTTAGAATGCTAATTGAGAGAGATATTACGAATAGCTTTCGTATAGGAAGTTTTATAGAGCAATTAGTAAATTTTCTCTACAAATTATCAATACTAATTTAGTTTGCTAGACTGGAAAGTTATTGAATTTTGAATTATAGGAAGATCAAAAATCTTAACATCCTCTTCTCTTTTCTCTCCTCTTATCTCTTCTAATTTATATTTCTTTCCATAAAGCACACCTGTATTTTTTCATTATAGGAAGATGAAGTTTTGTTACCTTAGCGCAACACATCAATCGTTATTAATTTACGTAAATACCATTAAGTTCATGCATAAATCTCTGTCGCTAAATTTTTATTTTCTGTTTACAATTCATCAATGAAGTTTTGTTGTCAATATTCCTATATTTCTTAATATGCATAAATGAGTTATACGTTGCTTGTTTACACACCTGTATGTGTATATGTATGTTCAATAGTATATTTAGTTTCCATTAATATATATGACTGACCTCAATGAGTCCCATCACATTTTTATTCTTTCACTGAACCATATTAAATTCAATAATTAGGCCTTCAATTTACTTGCCTAGTAGTAGCGTATGTAGTAGACAAATCGGCCATCAACCTCTCCCTAAAAGGAAATTCAGGATACTGTATCTATCATACATATCTATCTATAATTTTTTCTTACTAATCAAATTTTTCTAATATTAATTGATGCGATTTATCAGTTTGCTACAACTGTTGCCTTATTTTCTACCAAATTTTTGATCAAATTCAAAAGAAAAAATTCTTTATATTAAAATTTTCTAATTAAAAAAAGCCATAAAACATTTAAATTGTCTTTTAAAATATAACAGAGAATGTTTTCTAGCCAAGAAAAACAATCACAATAAGATTTAATGATCGGAAAAGAATTTTAATTTCGTATTTTTTAAACCGAATGATATGATATAGTTAATATTGAAAATATACATGCACATACTACTGTTGAAAAACTTTAACTTAAGATATATTACATTTATATCTAGCCTAAACCAAAAAATCTAAACTAAAGAATAAAAGGAAGATATATTTGTTGCATATTAATTAGTAAATATGCTTCTAATTGAAATTTAAAAACAAAAAATTTAATTGTTACAGAATTTAAAATGACATTATAATATAAATTGAAGAAAAACAAAATTGAATTGTTGTATTATAATTAAATAGTTTGAATAAGAAGACAACAATATTCCATAGTTTGATAACGATTGAAATGTATCAATTCAATCGAAAAGGCAAAAAGATCATGGCGTAAATGTTGAATGAGTTATTAGGAGGGTGCAAATATATTCAATATCCTATTCATTCCATTTTCTCTTTTCTCCTTCTCTCTCTCTCTCTCTCTCTCTCTCTCCTTAAATCTCCTTAAATTCATTTTTCCTTGGATATATATGTATTTATTATATTTTACATGTTTAAATGTTCGTCGAAAAAAAAGAAAGGATTTATTTTGTTTTCTTTTTATTTTCTGATTGGAAAAGTTATGATGAAAATTTGCAGAAATTGATGGATTTCAATGTTGAATGGAATTTTGAATCTGAAATATCGATGGATAATGCTTTATATGATTGTATACCACCAGAATTAGTGGTCAGGATTGACCATTATTTATCATTCGAAGATAGCCTTAATTTTCAGGTATTCAATTCATTAATTATTAATTATCGCCATTTTTAATATTAATTTATTGGATAGGTTTAAAAATTAATTTTTGTTAAGTAAAAAATTACTATTTTAATTTTTAAAAAAATATTTTGATAGCAAAAGTAACGTATTTGTGTACATTGTCATGATCATATTGATTAATATTAATTAAAAAAAATTTCCTCTTTAACTACGAGAAAAGGAAATGCTGAAATTTTGACAATTAACTATTTGCAAATAATTCGAGTAGTATATTAATGAAGAAAATTAATTCGAAGTTTATTATTGCAGGAATGCTCGAATTATATCAAATCCGTATTGTGCTCTAATTGGTGTCAATATAATAAGATTCAGGTAGATAAATATTATTAAACGATCTAAGAAAAGATTGCTATAAAGATTTTACAAAATTATCAATTTGAACTATCAAATCACAATCATTGAATGATTTTTACAGATAAGCGATGACCCTCTCGATTGTTATATTACTAGTACTAAAGATCATATACCTAAACGAAATTTTTTGGAAAGCAATTTGAATACAGTTTTTATAAGTTAGTCATTCTCTTTTTCTTCTCATTTAATTTAAAGTGAGCATTTAATGAGTATTATTTAAAAATTAGCATATCTAAGTTTTTTGATACAAATACAACAAAAATTACCGAAGGAAAATTTTTGGAAAAGATCGAATATGAGACATAAATTTTTGCTTTTCCTGATTTTATGCGGATTTCCGGCTTGATATTTTTTTAAAGATTACATGACTTATCATCAGTTGATAAAAATATTTCAGCATGTAACAAGATTGTGGAAGTAATGATGATTATGAAAGATGTCGGATCATTAGAGGGATGTGGTTCTGATGTACCGCAATCATTGAAAGGTTTTGAAATCTATAATTTCTGTATTCTCATATGGAAAAATCTACTAACAATGACCTATTCGATGAATCATACTAATGCTTTATTGTTAACAGTGATACTATCATTTATTAGCTTTTAATCAAGACATATCTTTAGTATCTCAAAATGTCATAGTACTGCTACTAATTAAACTTCGCCACTTTGTATAACTGCAAATGTGATAATTAATTACGATAAATTGTGGATGATCTGTTACAGATACATCCTTGTATCAAACAAATGGTTATTTGGGATATCTGTTTTCGAAGATACCTCAACAAACAATAGTTCAACTGAAGACTGTTTCATTACATGTTGATATTATGCGTGATAATTTAAGACAGTTATGTTTTCCATGTCCAACTCAAGATCTCCTTTATTCCATTCATCATTTGGCCGATTCTCACTTTGAAACTTTCACTCAGGTTTATTTTAAATTTTTCATTTTAAGTATTATCGAATAATTTTTCATAATACCGTACTATTAAAAAATATTTTGAAGTTTTATAGGCAGTGTGAAATAATGTTTCAAGTAGAATAATGGCTTAATTTTTATATTTATAAATTTCTAATTAAAAGAAAAATAGGTAGGAAACTTAAGAAATAGGAAGAATTTTGAGTAGTACAATCATTAATTTGTTTTACTAGGTGATTGTTTTATCTAATTATTATTACTATTATGAATGAAGTAAATTCCAGTTCTAATCATTCTATCATTTGCAGATTTCATTTTGTTCAGCAACGATACAATGTGAAGATTATCATCTTAGAAATATGTTATTGAATGGTATGGAAATGACACTGAAAAATATTGGTAAATATTGTGCAAAAACTGATTTCACTGTTGGTTAGCTTTTTCAAACCATATTATTCTAAGGCATTATTATAAATTTATTGGTTCAATTGAGATATATAGAATTTATTTATTTATGTTTAATTGTGGGCATTTTATCCATTCGTTGACTTATATATTTATTATAAATATTTGATTGATATTTTTAAGTAATTAATTATTATTAAAATAATCGGAAACTTTTAATATCTTAAATTTAAAGAGCAAAATATATAATTTTTGACATAATCATTTTTGTCGAATGATTTTCATTCACTGAAACAAGAATAGAGATATTATTAAAACTTCCAACTTTGTGACAGATGCGGCAGATGGTTATGCAGATATGACAGTGGAAAAAGGAAAAATGGAATATTCATTTGCATTTTTCTACTACAATCCTCATATTTGTGGAATAGAAGCATTAACAACGATGGAAGGAATGGATCAAAATGATCAACATATTGTTAATTCATCTTTCCCTGATGAAAAATTGATTAGTAATAATGATAGGAATGATAATGGTGGTGATAATGATAGTAGTAATAGTAGTAGTAGTAGTAATAGTAATAGTAGCAAAAATAATATTAATAGTGGTAGTAATAGTAATAGTGCTTTAATGTGTATGAATACAATAAATCAAATTCATTGCCAAAGTGATTTGCAAACCTCAAATGATATGTATACATCATTTTGGAGAAATTTAATGACAATTCATTAATGAAATTAAAAAAGATATATAATTTGTTTAAAGTTATTTTATCAGTTATTGCATTTTGAATATGAAAAATGATAATTCAATTATAAATTATTGATTGATAATAGAAAAGCATTATTAATTATCTCATTGATAATTATTTAATCATAATGAAAAATTATTAAAATATTCATTTCAAAGTATAGCACCTATGATTGAAAATTATCATATAACTTAATTTCATATAGGATAACTCTAATTTATAATGAATAACAGATATTAAGCAATTTGATTATCAGGGTGTAATATATTTTGATCTCCTTATATATAATATAAACATTACGTATGCAATGTTTTGTGTAGTTATGAAGTGTCATTTTGGTGTCATTACTAGCCCGGTCAAAAATTTTAAAAAAAAAGGCACGATAATTAAAATTACACTTTTTCTCTTTAGTGATAATTTTTAAAAAGACCGCGAAAGATCGGGCTTTCCAATATCTCATTTATCTGTTGCTATTATATAGGGTGAATGAAGAGGGAATATATTTTGCCTGATAACATATATAATTAGTAATTTTTTAAATCAATATTTTCAAAGTATTGATTGTATTTGAAATTTTATGCCTTTCTTTGGTATAATCTAATTGTAATGCAAAATTTGTATGCATGCATTAATTGCTTGCATTTTATGCATGTCTTTTCTTGTGTAAACTTAATTTGCCTGAAATGAACAAAATGAATAATTTTGCAAAAAAAAAAAAAGAATATTAGAAAAGGTCAAATTTGGGTCATCTTTTATGTAATCCTTTGGATATTTGTCACAAATATTGCATTTTAATATTGCTATTGAAATCTAATTCGTTGTAATAATAAAAAGACAATTAATTAATCAATAACATATCTTTCAACATAAAATTTAAATTATCAATTTTGGAATAAAGAAACTTGGAAAAGATCAGATAAATATAGTAATTAATTTGTATAGTAATGAATGAATTTTGTTAGGCAATTGATTTGCTGGAAAACCCAATCAATATTTTTATCATTGAATTAGAAACCACCCAGTATCTCCAGTATCCGATACCGGTTTTTGTTGAAAACTAGCGCGAAAAGTTTTCAAACATTCATTTAATTATTTCGTCTGTTATTTTCACTTAAAAAAATTTAATATTTTATTTTTTTCCAAATATTAATTTAAATGAATTCAAAAATTGTCTTGGAAATAATTTGTGGGAAAAATATTGATAGTTTCCGTTTTCTCTTTCTTTCATAACAAAACTGGTTCCAGTTGTAGAAATTTAAAATTGATTGAATCGGAATTTATCCGATTGATTACTCACAACTGTGAGCAACAATGAATAATATAACTTTCTTTTACCTTTTTTACACCTTATCGCTTCATTAATGAGTATAAGGTTTGTAAATTACATGAAAATTGAATGTATTTTCTTATTTGGACATTTTCAACTTAACTTCAATTAGCTGATAATTTTATAATGTAATTATATAATTCTTTTGCTAATGTTGGAATAATCTTTCCCAAATATTTTAAGTAAGTTATGACTGAACCGGAAATATTTCTAATTGACATTTCAGGAATAAAATCTTACAGCAAAGCTAAGAAATAATAATTAAATTGCTTAGTATAATTTAGGATGAAGAATAATTTAAAAACTTTCTCTAATTATGTTTCTTTAAAGAAAATGCTTGTAAATCTTGACGTGCAATTAAGTTTGATTAGTTATTTTTGTTGCTTATTTTAAATCTTTCAAATTGATCAGATTTCATAAATCATGCAAGTTTTAGTGTTTAATTATAATAATTAAAAGTTCACTACGATATTTTATATCGCTTTTAAATCTAACCGTAACAATTAATTTCGATCGTTTAAATAGAAAAAAAGAAGATAATTATTGTTGGAACTAATTAAAATTTAATAACAAAATAAATGTTCACGGGAATAATGCAACGAAAAAAAGGAACAACATGATAATTTTTTCTAATTTTTAAATTTTAAATTATTGACAATAAAATTTACAGCTCAATTATTGAAGGTTAGATAAAAATTAAAATTGAATTTAAATTTTTGCTAAAAATTTCGAAATGAAATGTAATGATTGATTTTGAATAGTACACATTACAATATGATATTATAGAAGATATATTGAAGAGTTGGCTTAATTAAGCTATGCTAAATTTCATAGAAATTAACTATCGAAATATCGCTTCCAATGAGAGCATTCGATTGTATCATTCCGCGGCTGTCATTCTGTCATTTTATTATTCTTTCAAATCTATTTTGATAGATGATAATAAGAAAATATTTCTTTACAGAATGATATAAATTTTTATCTGTATGAGAAAAAGTAGTATATTTAGTTTCTATTAATATATGATTGACCTCAATGAGTGAGTTCCATCATGTTTTTATTCTTTCACTGAACCATATGAAATTCAATAAGGAGGTTCAGGATACTGTATCTAACAACCACATAACCAATTTTTTTATTTTCAACCATTTTGCTCTTTCTCTCTCTCTCTTATTTTGCTGAAGTAAAGAAGACGTACGTGTACCTATTATATACACACGTAATATACACACACACTAATTTAGCAGTTAGTTAAGTGAATTCATTTATTGCCATAATATAGCTGATTTGTTAATTGATATTCAGATAATTTATTAAGCAAATTGAATGCGAAATTCAAATTAAAAATTTTAGTGAAATATAGAAATAGCAAAACAGTTGCGCAATTATCTGGAAAGACAAGAAAACAAACACCTGAAAGCATGAAATATATCAGAAAAATATTATTATATATTGATTGGCTAACTTTAAATGATATAAGGTATCTCTAATGATAAGGAATAATTTGACCACTATCACCGAATACCGATCAAAGAATAATTTGACCCGCTTATCTACTCGTTACAATAATAGATCAGTAATTTCGACTATTTGGCATTATGGACAGATCCTATAGATGATTACTTTACCTATAAAAGCCAATAGTTGTTATATCGGCGCAATCATCCACGACTACACCACCGTAACAAGAATCGGTAGCTAAACTTTACCGTATTATTAATTTTTTGAATTCAAAAGCCAAGGTATGATGCATCGGATTTCCGTTGAGAAAACGATACATATCAGATTATCCGTTACAGGTCTGAAATGCGACTTTTTTACAAATGTAGAAAATGCTTTTAGCAGCAAAAAATGACACAATCAATGAAGAAATCAAAATTTGGAAATGCTGAAAGAGATAAATCATATTCTACTGAAAAAGGAAAATTATAATGATGTACTTATCGTCTATCTAAAACTTCCACAAATCCTAGAAAATCTTTTTTTTATCCCGAACTCATGGAAATGCTGAAAAATTTTATTTTAAAATTCCCTAGAGAAAAGGAAGGATGACAGGAAGTTTGTTTGATTCACGTGATAGGACGTGAAAGTGGATTTAGCGAAGGCAATACTTTTAACAGTTCATCTTCACTTTCCTAACTTCTTATTGTAATATGATCAGAATTTTTCCTCCCTAATTTCTCGAATATTCTGATTTCGAACGAAATTTTTTTCACGGAAATCACAGAATCTTTCGATATTTATTTTTAAAGAATTCATCAACAACTTCACTTTGATTTTGTGATGATTGTAATTAAAGGTATAGGTAAAAATTAAAAAGCCATATGTCTAATATCCCAAAATATATATAATGGTCCAGCATATTTTGTTTAAAGGAATACTTTGCTTGATTTGAACTCCAGGTAATAGATCTATCATCCCCAATTAAGATCTCGTTTATTAAACCAATATCAATTGCTAGTACTGTTAAGAAATTGCTAGTACTGTTAAGAATTTCGCGAAAAGAAATTGAACACGAATCCAAATTTTATGTTTTAAATTTGAATTGCACAAAAAAAATAAGTTAATCACAAAGTCCATTTCTTAACTTTCATGTGACTAAAGATAATGAAAATCTAAACTCACAAAATTCACATATAACATAAAACATAAAATAATTCTGATCTGAAAACAGGAATTTGAACATATATGACAATTGTATGTTTCAAATATTAGTTAACATTGCTCACAAAATTCCATTTGATCAACTTTCGTTCAAATGTATTTTTGCATAACAATACAAAAAAAGGTACAATAACTTTCAAATTGGACAAAAAATTCAACAATATATTGGAAAGAAATTATTTGGCACATAAAACATCAAACGAGCAAGTAATGTGCAAAATTAAAATATATTGTACATAAAAATTTATGATATATTCAACAATTTGTTATGCACAAAAAAAACCACAATGAACATGTAACTTCAAATTTTTAGAAAATTAAAAAGAAACGAAATAAATAATTTTATATAAAATATAAATAAAAATTTTTATCAACAAAAATTTTGGAATGAATTTCAAATGTAGCTTACTTAATGTACTTAATTCCTGGACTTCATAACACTCCGGAGGCAAGTTGCTTAAGAATATATATATGTAAGGGTTTATAAGTGTAATTGAATTCCATATACCTGTATATTCCTTGAGATTATTTCATTCGTAATCCTGAGAGTAGAAGTCCTTCGGTTAAATAGCTGTCTATTTCTCTCCTTGTAAATATTCCACATCATGTGGTAGAAGTACGGAAATTTCTTTATATGGATTTTGGTCAAATTTCATAGCCTAAATCATTTCGTTGAAAGTGAAGAATGTAAAACTATTTTATTCATCCTGTTATAAGTAAATGGAAGACTTAGTTATTAACAGAAAAGTGTCAAATTCATTCTTGAACAATCCAATGTGTTATAATTGATCGGATTAAAAAACAATAATTTCGGTATTTCTGAATTGTATGTTTCTGAAAAACTGCAAATAACTTTTTCAACAACCATCTGAAATCGTAATTATAAAAGTTTTATTTTTGACTTTTTTACGGAAGTTAAATAGAATTCGAAGTGATCTTTGTATACTGTTGAAAATGACACTGACTAAGACATTATACGGTTATTTAGCAATGTAAAACTGGAATTAGCAGCACCCGAGCAGTTTACCAATAACATCAACCATAAGTTTCAGTTTATCTTCGCGCAAATAATGCTGAGGCCAGAATTTCTTTGCCAAAATGGTTCCCAGCTCTAAAGCTAATGTGTCACGTACCGCTGCATCATGAACAGGTGCACGAATTCCGGATTCATCGCTAGTCGTCTGAATTCCTACATCAACCGATGTCTGTTTTATGTTCAACGATGAAAACTGATCCTGATGTGAGGAATTTGATGAAGAGTAATCATCTGTTTCCTTTAGGTTGTTGGTAGAGCTATTTCCGACTACATTTGAAAGCATTTGTTGCAGTAATAAGTTTAAATAAACATTCATAGCTGAAGCACTACTGCCATTAGCTGAACCATTGGTGGTCATTTGTAAAAACTGATTGAACTGTTCGGATATCTGAATAGAATCGCCTGGAAACAAAGGTGGCCCGTCAACAGATTCCTCTGCAACACCTCTGCCATCTTCTTCCTCTTCTTGTTCTACTTTTAAATGACTGCTACAATCGTTTATCTAAAAAATGTTGAAATCAATGATGCAATGAATATGATTGAAACGTAAATTGTAAACGAGTCAGGCAATGTACCAGCGTAATACAAATGAAAAAATTGAACTCATAAAATTCTATCCCTTCGAATGTTCCACAATGAAGTAGAATCTAAGAAATATGCGAAATAAGAAAATTTTATCAATTCTGAACACATCAAAAAGGAATAAGAAGTCAATAAATATTTCTTGAAGCTCTAATATTTCAGTGGAGTCGGAACACGATTAAATTTGCTTATACTGGAAAATGGATTCTAAAATGAGCTAAGTTAACGGACACATTTAGGACTGAACAGACTTTCTGAAGAAATTATATTTTATAAAATGCTAATGACCTTTACATCTCTTCTCTTTTTATTTTCTACTGGCGCACTTTTTTTTTGTTAAATTGGAACGGCGGAAAAATATCAAACCTGATGTTTTGTTGGCAATAATTCGTTTCCGCTGGAAAATTCTTGCTGCTTCTGCCGATTCCAGTAACGCTGAATGTATCTAAAACAAAATAATTAATTAATTTGCAGTACTGTACCGCGCTTATACAAAACCGATGAATTACGTATAATTCAATGATTACCCAAAATCTTCATTTCATTCCTCCGCACTAAGTTCTTACACTACCTGCATCTTATTCCATATAATTTTACTTAGTTATTCAGTTAAAAGTTTTATTCGATTTGCTACGAAGTGCTGAACAGAAAAAATATAATAATATACCGTCTTTCAGCAGCATAACTCGTTTTTGTAGCTTCACAAATATCATGGTATTGCATTTCGAGATCCCGAGCTTTCTGGATTATTTGAGATGGTGAAACATTACCCTTTTGAGCCAATTCTCGAAGTAGCGTACGTCTTCGTCGCTTCTAAATAAACAATATATGAAAACTGAATTAAAAGATACTTGTAAATCATAAATAAGTATTCATAAACAACAATTAATGAAGTACTCAATTTCATTAAAAAACCAACAAATTCGGCGTCAAAATTTGGTTCATGAACGTGTTCGCTAACGATTCTCACGTTCGTATCATTATAATCTGTGTGCAGACGTCCTTTACATTTCTTTTTGATGCATCTAAACAAGTAATAAAAAAGAAAAATAATGACACTATTTCGAAATTTAAAACATTATATATCACAAGCATGCAATGCTGATAAGCCAAGTGCATTATCTGAATTGTCTATGATTCATAAAAAATTACCGATAAGCCTTTAAATTACGCGCTCGATCGACTCGAACTTGACGATGTTCGTATCCTTTGAAAATGATCAATGGTCGTCCTCTGGCAGTTATATCCAGCGAAAATGAAGATGTTTCTGCGCTGACTGATCCCTTAGCATCTTCGCCATCGCTGAAATTATTAGCAATAGAGTAACAATCAATGAAAACTTCTCAAGCTGCGAAATATTTTAAACGAAAAAGAAATGCCATATGGAATCAGTGACTGGTAAAATTGAACAGTAACAGCCCAACTTGATCAGTAACACAAACGAAAGACCAACAAGCATATGCTTGCCCTGTGGTACACATTTATAAAAATGATTTTGCCAAAATGAAGTCCAAATGACCATTATAATTTGTCACCTAAGAACTGATAACAAAAAGGCACAGGTAGCACTTTTTATGAAAATTTACTTTCCGATATGTAACTTATACAAGTAATAAAAAAAGTTAAACGTACCTTTCCCCAGGATAACTACAATCCAACTGATCCGTTGGCATGATTTCCTTATGCCTTGAAGTACGGCTTCAAGTATTGCTAAGTTTTAATGAATTCTGGATGCGTCTTTCCAATTGATTTGTAGATTTATCCCTGGAAATTCAGTTTTTTTTCGCAAAATGATTTGATGATAAGAAAAGCGCGAATTCAATCACACAAATCAATGAAACCCAAATCCATTGCTGCTTATTAATTAAAGCTAATTAAAGCAACGTGAAATACGGAAAATACGTATCATATCACCTGTAAAATGTTCAAAACCTGACGAAGTTATAAATCCAAAACTCTACCATTGAAACTATATAATGGAAAAGAGTCAACCTTTAAGTATATTTTCATGTAAGCAAAGCTTTTTCCGCCAATAATTCTTAGAATTCTTTCCTTACATTCATAATGCTGTTAACCTTTGCCCCTTTCTATTGCTTCCTCGCATATTTAGAGCATCACATTGTTTTTTTTGGTCCTATTCTCTTCACTGTGGCAAAAACATTCGCTCTTTGGAGGTTTTTCTCTTATTCAAAAAACTTGTAGAGGTCAAACAATTTAAATCATAGATATGGTCAACAAACATTAATGGAATGATGTGATGGTCAACCATAGTTTCAACCGGTTGTCTATCTAATACACTATTGTGAATATAAAAGACAGCTCCTATTTCAAACACGTAACTAGGCTAGGCTGACAAAGAGCGGCACGAGAAGTTTGCCAAATCATCAAAGCATAGGTAATATACCGCGATTTTCTCCTAGTGTAACTCAAATGTAGGATAAAAAGAGTTATACATAATTTTGGCATTATTCCCAATAATGCACATATATGAGTGCATTTTTCATGTCGCATTTGCACGTAGTAATTTGCAGAAATGCAAAAGTGATGTGAATGCAGTGTAAGTAGTTGGATGACATATCGGAAAAGACTAAAGACTCTTTGAATCATCAACAATTTTCTAGTCAGTCATCACAGATAACTATCAAGTGATAGTTCATGTTGGATAATTAGCCATCGAAGAATTAGCCCATCTTGGATAGTTATATTCTGTGACTCATATTTAAACCCATTTAAAGAAGATTTGTCCAGAAAATAATTTTAATTATATAGTTAACAAACAACAAGAATGTGAGAACTGCAGAGCAATAAATATTTCATTGGGATATCTTATTACAAAATGACAAGAATAAAAGGAATATTTTACTTCCCGGGTATTTTGAATTCCCCAAACCTTATGTCACGACGTTAAATATAAGATATTACAACAGTTTTATTACTACTACGTTTACATATATACATTCATAATTGAAATATTATCTTTCAGAATCTACGAATTCGTTTCCGGAAAAATGGTAATAATAGTACGGGAAAGTCGCAGAGACGGAAGAGAAGGCAACGGTTGACAGTTCCGTAACTTGCGCACTTTACTGGCTTAGTTTTGTGATTGAAGAATGCATGCAAGGAGAATACAAGTAAGCATGCAAGTAGGACGAGCCTTAGTTTCATGACATTTTACAAATAACGAGTAAATAATAACGAAGTTGGAGTATCGCTTGCTTGCAATGATTGAAGTAAAACGGACGCGGGAGGGAAGCTGTCGAAGAGAGGAAGAGTTGTTTAAGGGTAAGAGGCGCAGTTGTGTCATCATCAGGTGCCCCACTCCTCCATCCTATCACAGATGTGTCCTGACATGAAACGAGAAAGGGTCAGAGAAAGAAAGGAAGGGATGGAGAACATTTGCGCCCAGAGCAGAGAACAGCGAGGCGAATAGCGTCGTGAAGGATAGTGGTTGGAGCGCATATGTCAATAGCGGTGGTGCACGACAGAAGGAACTATCTATTGGTGAGTGCGCATTTGCCCTAGTCGAGTCTGTATCTCTCCCCCTCTCTAGTTACCTGTAACCCTTGGACTTGTCCTGTGTCATATCACACACAGCATTTGCGCCATTCTTTTCGGATTCATTGGAGGTAACACAGAAGAGTGTCGAGGGAAGGTAATGATAGATAATTGCGCCATTAGCTTGTCGTGATCACTGTCGTCGTCGTCGTTGTCGTCGTTGATGGTGCCTGGATGAACTTCATCAACGGACCTTAGCTCACTCTCTACCGATCTCTAATCATTAATTCAGAAGCCTTCAAAGCGCTAAATCTTTTGGATCAATTGTGTTTCGCTTTCCACCGCCACGCATTGCTCGCCTCCCTTCCAAACATTTCATTCCTCCACCACTCCACTAAAATTTAAATTTCAGTGAAATGGTGAAAGAATTTTCCTTAAAGGAAGACAGAAGATTCTTAACGCGTGAAATGACAAAATATATGCGCAATTAAAATGCCTTTTAATCTTACAGTGCATGAAATAATTTTGCATACGAAACTTCCTCACATTGTTATATCTTTCACGCGTCCGTGACAAGTACGATGATTACATGACGTGATAGAATGATGAAGTTCATTGATTTGATTGATGAAAATGAAGCCATTTTGGTTTGCTTAGATTCTAGATTAGATTCTACATTGAATCAAAATGAATCTTAGCTTTAGCACTTCCGCAGTTATTTCTCTTGTTGCATATTATTGTGGTTAATATGAACGGAAAGTTCATCCAATCGAGTATTTAAAATAAACAATGATTTTTGCATTCTTCAATTTTGCCATAAGAATCAAAAATGAGTTGAATTGTCCACCAGATGGCATTACGATAAATCCAGGAGATCATCAGATTTCGATTCCTCTACTATCCTCATCGTATCATTCTCCTCTTCCTCTTCTTCATCCAGTCGACCGCTAGTATTGTATCGATGAACGATCTATTATAAAGCTATATGATGGCACAATGATTAAAAGCTTATAACGCTTACATCTAACATTCCGAATATTATCAGAAAAGTTTGAAATATTTTCATAAATAGGTTTAAGATCGCTTATATAATTTTTATTGAATGGAGTAAAAATTGTAAGATTTTGCCGATGAAAAACGTTTTGGTATTTTAAGTTATTACGTAAAAATTTGTAAGATTATTTGTAAGAATTACAAATATTAAAATTGTAAGATATTACAAATAAATTGTAAAATTGTAAGATATCACAAATATTAAGATAACTAATAATAATGTAATAATGTCGTTTTGATAGCATACTTGCTCGAGATCAATATCAATCGGAAATAATTCGTTTGCGCTAGAAATAGCATCTCGACATTCTGCGTGCGTCTCCATTATGGCTTTTACAAATTTGGACAATTGAACACCGATATCTTGCACTATAAATACATAGAGCATAATTTTACCTAATTACTTTGGATTATTTATCAAAATTCTCATGATTAATCAATTCTATATGAGATAATTTATAATTTTAAAATATACAAACCATGTTTCTGATCCAATAATTCCAACTTTTCCATAACATCCCTCCGCAACTTCATGAATTTCTCATGACTGTTCTGTTTGCATCGTAGCATTAGCCTGAAATAAAATGTCAACTATAAAATTAAATTTCTGAAGACTCACATGTTGTGTCCATAAAACGGATATGAAAATGTATAAGGGGCAAAACTAGTAAATACGTGAAAATGAATGGAAATATACAGATAAGTTGTCTATCCGGTAAAACCAACCTATATTCATAATTACCCGTTTCAACACGATACAATTGTTCATCAAAACCGGCTGCTTCAACTTCTTCATCATCCATTTCTTTTAATTTTAAACAAAACGACAAATATTCAAATTTAGCATCTAAATATTTTTTCAGAGTTAATTTTGTATCTGGAATTGCTTTGTTGACGAATGTATTCAGATCACGTACTATCGGATGCAAACTTTTCACCAATCTGAAATTTTGAATTATATAAAATTCATTAAAAACTGTAATGTTCATCTGGAAAAAGAATTATTAGAGAAAGAATGTTCAAACCATTGCATAAGGAAAAATAAAGTAAAATCTATAATGGCAGCTAAACCATGGATCGGCAAATAATAAATACATGATCAAATATCATATATATAAATTTGTTTAACCGTAACTGTCATTAATGATAATGCCAATTATATCACTTGAAGATTTGTTATCTAAGATATATGAGTAAGTTATGAGTATAAGTTATTTTTTATAATTTTATTTTATATAATTTTATATTATTCATTTATATCTATATTTATTATAATTTTTATATTATAAGTATTATAAGTTATTTATAAGTATATATGAGTAAGATATATGATAAATGAGTATATGAATATTGAGTATTTAAGCATTTCAATTTATTGCTACATTTTAATGCATCAAAAAACTTTCCATTCTTCTTTTTTCTGCATTTATAATAATTTCATAACAAATATGTTTGTAGTAAGCGAATAATGGGATTAAGATAACTAATCTCTGCATGAAATACTAATTGATTTTGTAACAAATGATATATTGTTCAATTCAAAATTATTCTCTCTCTCTCTCTCTTTTCCATTGCTGTCAATAAAACCAAATAATAATAATTTCATATAACTATTTATGAATCAAAATTATTGATTCTAGATAGGATAATTTTTGAAATACAAATTTTAAAACAAATAAAAAAAGCGCAAATAAAATTAATAATTGACTTTACGGTATGCTTTTCAAGGGCTCGATGTGTATTGCCAAATGTTGACAATGCTTTATTGGTTGTTGGGGAAGTTTCTCGTGCAGCTATTTCACAGAATAAATCACCAAATTCTGAAATAAATTATAAAATATAATCATTTCAATGATACATGTCACTTTGATAATTCCTAAAACATTTTATTAGTGCCAGCCTTTTCTTTTTGAAAAAGCAGAAATAGTTTAATAAATAATGAAACGAATGGTTGACAAAGAATTGCTTTTTTCCCAAATGAAATACTTTAAAAAAAATCAATAATAGATGTTTTCAAATATCAGCAATATTATTGTCAAATAATAACTTTGCTATTACTTCACTCTCTTTTCAACAAATTTCATTACATCACTGGTGACGATTGTTTGGATCATCTCTTCAAATCATTCCAAACAATCGATATCCTCGTGGTTTTTAGAATCAGTGAGATAATAATAAAAGTATAAACTGTTACAATTTTCGTGACAAAAGAAAAAACTTCAAATTTGTTAATTCTTTGAATGAAATTTATACAAATAATTTTGTAGAAAAATTAACATCAAAAATAAAGTAAAGCATTTTCAGAGAAATATATTAATTAATTAGACATTATTTAATTAGTTAATTAGTTACACATTAATTAGAAAAACATTAATTGAATAATTAAATTCTATGTCATTTTGTATTTAAAAAAATTTTTACAATTCAAAAAAAGACTACAGCAACGTATTCGGAAGGATTTTTCGGTTACTACTGGACTATTATTTCATGTTATCATTTTGTTGAAAATTATCAACTTGAGATTATCAAGTAAACAATTATTTTCTTAAAATAAACTTATCACCAAAGATTTCATCCATTTAAAATAAAATTTGATCAGAAGCTAAAACAAAAAGAAAAAGATCCATATTATCTATTATCGGTTGAATTAATTTTCTTTTTCGAATTAATAAAGAAAATGAAGAAATATAAACGAACCCTTTTGAATTTTAGCAATATGATAATGTGAATTGAGTAAAGCACTGAGATGTTTGATAAGTTTCTTGTAAAATTGAGAGCAATGTTCTAAACGATTCAATTTTTGAAGAAGAATATCATTACATAAAATTGCTCGAGACAGTCCTAATGCATCAGCCGTTTCGTAATTTATTGATTCAACAACACGATGTTTCATCTTTTTCAATGCTATATCAAATGTATGTCCCTGAAAATTAAATCGATCATATTAATTAATTGAATGAATGAAATATTTGCTCATTAATTATTAGTAAAAAATAATTTAGTCATAACTTTTAATTTCATATAAAAATTGAAATGATTGCAGAAAAATATAAAAAGATTCTATTTTACGTATTTTGCATAAGTTTTAATTTTCTATAGCGATTAATTATTAATTATTGTTTCATAAAACAAAATTTCAGGATTTAAAATTCTTCGTAAAAATTTTACTTACTCTATTAAAACCTATCATTAAATAATATTCGACTAAGAATGCTTAGCAAAAATAATGAATGAATGATTTGATATAATTATGATATTAATTAATACATTTATTGTTTCAGCATGAAGAACATTGAAACCAAGTTTAACAGATCCTTCCGTTTCTTGAATCATTTTTGCAATCGCCGTCTTATTCTCTCCTTTTATCGGAATACCATTTACACTGAAAATAAAACTTTAAATTAAACAATTCATATTATTTATTCGATAATTGGTTAATGGTTCAATACAATAAATGTATCATAGTGTAAATGGTATTCCGATGTATTATAATGTATTATAATTATATCATAATGTTCAGATAAAATTATCTCTAATCAATTTAATTCAATTTAATGCTATTCATTTTATTACAATTTCATTCATTCATGTATACAATAAAAAATTTGAATTCAAATTTCAAACATTTCCCATTATAATTTAATACTATTATTTTAATTACATTAACTGATTAAATCATTTCAAATAAATTATGTACCTAACAATTTCATCACCCGCTTGAATTCGTCCATTTAAAGCCATTGGTGAATTCTCGAAAATTTGCACCACATATATACATGGACAATATGGCGCACCTCCACCAATTGATACACCAATAACGCCATCTTCGTCTTTCATAATCTCAACAACATCACCAGTTATCGACATTCCCAATCGATCTTCCTCCATCTGCAGTAGTGCATTTTACTACTTCATATTTTCTAATAGCATTGTAATTATTCAAAAAACAAAAAAGAAAACAAAGTAAAGCTTAGAATTATCTATTGGAATGGAAATTGAATCTTCGAATTATCAATTTTTAATTTCAATGATAGATAGAATGAAATATTCTGTAAATTAGACAGTGGTATAAAAAATGGATGATGAATTTAAAATGATACAAATGAAAATTTGCATCAATCTTTCTCATCTTATGTTTACAAAAGTTAGATAATCTTAATGGCAAAAAAAAACCGCAATTTCCCGCATTATCGCAATTTCCCGCATTTCCCGTAGCATGCACCCAAAAAAAGAACTAATAATAAAAAGAAATGAAAGAAAAGATTTCCGCGGAAAAAAATTCCCGAATGAAAATTTAAGAACTCACCGCTTTCCCCGTACATAAAACTACTGATTCCTTTCGTCTTTTGAACATTTTCGAAATAATTTAATCTTAACTAATCAAAGTTTGCAGAATGCAATGAAAAGTTATGAGCTAACTTTAATGCTTTATTTTGATAGTATTTATATGGCGAAGAATTTTGTTGACAGATTAGAGGAAATAAAATTGAAATTTAAACAAACAACACTTCAAAATTGGGAAAGTTATTGGAGAATATTTATGAATTTTACTATTGCTACGACCAAATGATAACCCTATCAGAGATGAAAAAAAAAGAGATCATATCCGCTGTTCAAACAATCATAATCGACTGCTAAATTATCATCATTAAGCATTTAAATTTTATATACCTCCCAGTTGAAATAAAAATTCTTCTAAATATTAAGATTTTTCAACAATTTAGATCAATGAAAGCTTAGCTTTTAAAATGTAACTATAAATGAATCCCAGTAATAAATTAGTCAAGTAATAAGGCAGATTATAAATTATCAAAAGTGGATAAACTGATAAATCATCAGAAATGGATAAACTGATAAATTATCAGAAATGAATAAACTGATAAATTATGTAAAAATAGAAAAAAATGTGAAATTCTTTCGAGCAGAAAAAGAATTAAATAAATATAAATAGTTATAAAGAATTAGAATACTTTATGATAGCATATTAAAATAGTTAATATAAAACGTGAAAGTTTAAAATTTATCAGTTTCAAAATTCTTTTTGCTGAAAAGATCATATATTTCTCGAAAAAATATTTATTACTTAATTCATTATTTTTTAACTCTCTATAATCCTACCGCTTGAGATGAGATGAAAGAATTAAATCGGCTAAGAAAACGGAACTTTTCATCTGTTGAAAGTGCTTCAATCATGTGAAGCTTCAAATATATGAAGCATAGCTGCTTAATAGATAAATATGGCAAGCAATCAATGTCCATATGTGTCTGTGTCTGTGTCTGTATCCGTATGTGTATAATTGTTAAACGCTAACTCTGCATGCATAGCCTTTAAAAAGCTCTTAAAGAATAAGCTTAGCATGATATTGGTAAGCATAGACATTATATATTTTGGGTATCTGCTAAGATTGAAAGCATAGCCATAGATGGATTTTCATTAATGCTTTTAGATGGTTCATATTCAATCACTATCATCTTTTCCAGCGATAGCTTTTCATTTATCTATATTTTGAATTTCATCCAACTTCAATATGATAATGATTATTGCTAGAGCAAAATAATAGTTTACATTGGCTATTAATTGCGACATATATCAATTTTATGTGCAAATTGGCTTTTTTCCTAATTTTATCTACTTTTGTACCTGAAAACTAAATATAACTGGTAATGTACTTTATGCTTTTTCGAATGAATTTATTCAGAAATACAACATCATTCTATTATAAAGCATATCGAGGTCACCAACTTTTCATTACAACTTCAACAATACTTGCTGATGTTACAACACTTCCTGAGGAAATGTTAAAAATAAATGAAAAAGTAAAACAAATCAAGTAAATGAACCAACGATCAAAGAGAACAGTTCTGGATCGGATTTTAACCTACAACTTTTTTTAAAATTTGTAAAAACATTCCAAATACCAATAAATTGATTTGGAGCATCCGTCATTCTAAAAGATATCAGCCCCATTTCTCACATGGGTTAATTTCAGTTATCTGATTAGTAACAATTCTAAACTCTATCCCTGAACAAATAGCATGGATTATTCAGCAGCTTCAGTGGCTTTTTGATCAGCAGAGCATACCTCGACCGTACGTAACGCTGGATAATATACATAAAAATTAAGATCAGTACGAGCAAATGAGCCTGGATTAACAAACATGGTACTTTCTAATTGGTAATGGAAATGTTCAAATTTATCCGCAATGATAACAAGATCCGGTAATGGGTATAACGTGAGGTAGCTATCCATTTGCCAAATAACAGGTGATATATGAAGGGGTAGTGGCGATAAGTGTCCGACGGAAGCGATTGTATAACAGAACTGCAATATAATCGTTTTTAAGCATTATAACTGAGTCCATAGCTTCCATTTTCATTTTATTAAAAAGCTATTTAGCAAGAAGTGGCGGTATTAAGCTATGAATCGTTCATATGTAAAACTATTATGAAAATGTTTTGACTTCAGCTGATGTTAGAGATCAGTTATCTTACTCGATACCAGCTTAAACAATGTGCGATTTTGCTAAGTACAAATACCAGTGCTAGTGATTTCATATACATTTGAATCCAATCCAATAATGAAAAAAATAAGGGAAATATTAAGACAGGTAGTGAAACTCTCACGAAAAATGAAGCTCTTAAGAAAAAGAATAGTCAAATCTTACTTTTTTCTTGTTCTAAAATAAAAATTAAAAAAAGAAAAAATTTCACATGTTCTGGAATGTCTGCAGTGGTCGATGGCATATGAATACTATTTCTGCACATTTTTTCAACCAAATCGTGACGCATGATAACAATTTCCTGATTGGTGTATTGTATACGACATGGATTTGATGCAAACGAACAGTTCGGCACATCTCTCATCAGTTCGAAAAGTTGGAATGGTAATGGTGGCCTGCAAACAAAAGCTTAAATTAAAGATAAAATGTGTTACTTATACCAGAGAATAATACAGTTTCTGTATAATAGTGTGATTCAGAAACTTCGAATACAACAAAGACCAAGAATTAAAACCATCAATCCTTTCGAATTGGTAAGTATATATGTTTGATTAAAATTTGAAGCATGAAAAACCACGTCGATTCCGTGAAAAAAAGAGCTGAGATATTTTACAGAGGAGTAACATAAATGAATGTCACATCATCATGGCATTTCATCATTGTCAAATTTACTTTTCTGCACGGGTCCATGTTTTTCCAAGTGAATTTTTGTTAAAGTTACAACAAAATGTTTCATCGGTATACAGGACTGATAAAACATGAAATGAGGACTTATTTTTTAGAAAAAACTTTCCATCACAAATTTAACGGATAATTCATTAAGTAGTAATCGATGAAGATAATGCAACATATATCGACTATATGTATGCTTAAAATAAATTCTATAAATACTCACCGCGGTAGTATCGAATTCAGTGATGGATCATCTGGACCAGGGATAAATATAAAGTGAACGTTACGATTAGCAAAAATATCTTTTTGTAAAATAGCTGCTAAGCGGCGAAATCCATCTGAAAATAGATTTATCCAAAAGTATAAATAATAGCAGAAAGTGATCTGCCTACACGTCTCATATTAGATACATATTAAACAAAAAATCTTGGTCGCTCAAGTGTTGAATGATTCACAAAAGTAAAATAATGAAAGAGTGAAGTCATTTTTGTGTGTAATATTATGGCAAAAATATGATATAATAAGAAAAAGATATGTTCTATATTCCATGCCCCACAAAATGCTTAACGGCATAGTGCGGAAAACAAACCATATATGAGATGGTATGCGTCAGCTGTACCCACCTGAGAACAGAAATTACCACATATAATGAATGCAAGCAACTGGGAATCTGTGAAGGCAAATATAAGCTCCTTGATTGCATTCAGTATCTAAAAAAAGAAGTCTAAAAAAAATATTTATTAAACCTCAAATAATAATCTTTTTAGGCTAAACTATTTAGGCTTAGCTTATTGAACAAGCGCTTTGTTTGAATTGTCTTACACCATGTGACTCAGTGGTCGCATCTATTAAATCAACCTTTGAAATCCGATCTAGCTACGTATTGCATTAGGAGCAAGTTACTCAATGGCAATGAAATATAATTCATGTTTTTTAGAATGTATGTACAACCCTTGTAATATTGTCAAAAACTGCAACTTAAAGTGAGAAGATAGTGACAAGATATCTTGATAATACTTTGAAATGCATAAAAATTAAAAATTGAAGGTAATGGAGATAAAAAAGATTATTTACGCATTCAAGAAAATTTAGTTGCAAAGTACTTGACTTTGTTGTGTTTCAGCCAAAGTCTTTCAAAAGAGAGAAGGACTTAACCCTTGAGTCATCCAGCCATACATCTGACATAAGGATGAACCTTGTTCTATCATTTCGTTCGCATAGTGTTCGAAGTCGAATTTGCGACCCATAGGCGACTGTACTCTCACCACCAAACCAGTTTGTTACTCCAAAGTAATTTCTTGTAATCTTGGCATTTTCAACTGGTGCAAGACCAACAGCACTAACGCGAAATACACCATCAAAATACCGACCCTCCAACATCATTATACAGCCATCGGTGAAAAGACCTTTGTGGAAAGTCGCTTCCTTAAGATCAACCTCTATAGCACCTGCAAATGCTGGTACAACTCTTCTATGAGATTGATCTAGCTCTTAGACACAATAGTTAAATTAAAACACTAATTAATCGTATCCACTTTTATAAATGTCTTTAAAACTGAAATTGTTTAAGACAATTTATATTTGATCTCACCTGTAAGATCCTCAATTTCATAAACACCAGGACTCCTTTGAGTTAACATTCCTATTAATACTAAATTACTTGCTCTTTCTGGAGTGCCTATCAGAGCTTCTACGGAGCATAACTGATAATGCTCAAATGCAGAACTTCGCAATGCACGCTGAAAATACGATTCATTCACTCTGTCAATAACATTCATATATTTAGAAATCAAAAACTGTTACTCCATAAAACTAGTTTTTAAATCAGCATACACTAATAATAATAATAAAGAAAAACAGTACCTCGATGATATAAAACTTATACCATACAGTAACACTTAGCGAATCTTCTTGAGTAGAAGTAAATAATTGATTTCTTAGAGATTAAAAAGTTCATTAACCTGCACAACAAGTTTCAAGCGTTCTCTATATAAATTTTTCGCATCACTACTTTGACCTATCGTGGATGCTTGACCATCCAATACGACCAATGTTTTACGTTGCTCATCATACCGTAAACGTGGAACGGTGAACAAATCAATTACACGAATTAATGATTCTCTGCAGTAGAAACTAGTTTTATTGAATTCAGTGATAAGTTGAATGAGAAAAGTGTCACTTTATCTGTTATTTGAAATCATGAATTTACGTAATAAATTAAGACGAAATCAGTTTAGCATAATTTTCTGCTAATTCATTGAATTAAACGAATTATACTTTTCAATAGTGGTTCTCCCCAACTACTTGGTCCATTGGCATAAATATAAAAACATTCTTTTGCCTTGTAAAATGTACTATGTACTCAACTGGTAGAAGCAATATGAATAGATGACGTGATGCTTCGCGTCTAAACTATATTTACTTCATTAATAAAAAGCAGTCAATATCACTGGTGGTTTGATTTTAGTATCCTGCTTACAATTTATCTCACCCCGATAAGAGACAAATTATTCATTTTACTGATTCTGCATAATTTAAAGAAGGGCAGATCAATTTTAAAAATAAAATAACTGTTTTGAAGAAAGATTGCTGGCACATTCGGAAACAGCTGATTTCAATTCACTAATCGAAAGCACTGGCCCGTTTGCTGAAACATATAATTGTTGCTGGATAACAAAGCTGTTTCTTCTAATCTATAAATCGATATTGCATAAATCTTAATATATATATATATATAAATTACTCTGAAGATGCCCGAAAACATCTTCGTAATCAACAATGATCTAATTATAACACAACGTAAAAACTCAAGACCTCGACAAGTACTTTTCTTCAATAATGAATTCTAAGTTAGATGAAACGACGGCTCAATCTAATGTGCATCAATTTAAAGAAACGCCAATGTTAAGCAGAATGTTATAGCTACTGAAACATACCCTTCTGTTTCGACAACACACCAATAACTTTGTTTATCCACCGAGTTCGCTCTTCACCTTCCAATTCCAATAGAATTTGGATAGCATATTCCATAGCTTCCCTAAACAGACACCAAGTTATTTCAATCTCTTTAAAACTTAAGTATTAAAAGAAAAACCTACAGAAATTAAGTAAAAACAACAGCGGACGAAAAGCGAATTTTCATAAGTCTTTCTGAAAATTTCGTCCTTCTGGAGCACAGAGTTAGGTATGAGTTTTGTTAGAATTTATATCACAAAATCTAACAAAGAGAATCGCTTACTTGCTTAAGGTGAGTGCACGCATCTGAAATGCTTTGCGAACTTGTTTCCTCAATTTCTCCACATCCGAATCAGTCGGCATGAGTAAGCAATGAAATAAGCCTTATTTTCAGCAATACATAATAGATAAACTTAACTCTGTAATATTACTTGCCATAACAAGAGATGCCAATGGGAGGAGGACGAAAGTTTGGGAAATAGAACACGACAAGAATATAACATCAATACGCGTCAGCAGCTCATCGACATCAAAGAACAATTTACTAATAAAGAGGAACAACAAATATTTGAAGCGTGAATATTGTTTAATATGTCAAAGCAAAGATACTGAAGTTCCCATCACTCCCCCTATCTTTAACAGTTCTAATTACTCTCTTCAATGTTTGGATCGTTTCCTATTATTCCCATATTTTATAATTTTTTTCCTTGTTTTGGCATATTAAACTAATACCGCTTTCTGGTCGCTCAAATATCATCTATTTTCAAGAATGAATACAGTTTTCCTTCAAAAACTGTGAAAATCTGTAAGCTTTCAATTCAGCACACCGTAATTTATCAATTTATGAACAAAATTATGAACATATAAGTTAACAAAATAACGGAAACAGTAAAACGACTTGAAGAATAAAGCATGATTTCTTGCTTCATCTAACGAAAACTAGACCAGAACAATCGGTACTATTCTTCTCCAAACAATTTCTATAGATCAATGTTCTACCAGATCTTGGTACAACATTTGAAGCACAAAACAGATATCATTAATTCCCAAAATAGCTAAACAACAGTAAAACTATTATCGGTTCTCGCGGCGCGGTCCAGTCGGCATCATGAACGGTGGCCTCATCATCATTGGCGGTCCCATTGGAGGACCCATTGGTGGATAAGGAAATGGCATTGGACCTCGAACTGGCGGACCGCCAACTGGTGCCATAATCGGTGGTCTTGGCCCACCCACCGTCTATAAATTTCAAATAACAGTTATTAAAGTCGGAATTGAAAATTTTTCTAGACATATGAATTATTTTTCACACAAGAGTTTTAAATCACTAATAATAAGATGAATTCCAAATAATTAATCCAATGAGACTAAATACTTTATCTAGTTATTCTATAAAACAGGATCTCGTCTTAGATCATCAGCATTTCTGCTTGTAGTATAAGATATAAAAACAAGTTTTATACATGTCAAGCAAAGATTCACTAAGGCTATTTTAAAGTCTCGACTATATCGCATAAGAACGGATAAAAGGGATGATTTCAGTAATAAAATAAGAAAACTGATTCCCAAAGAATTTTTGCTTTAAATTTTTTTGTAAAAAAGAATATAAAAAGCTTCAGTACGTTCCATAAATGATTAACAAGATTAAGAAAAACCAGTCACTGAAAAGCTTGAAGTCATGTCACTATCTTTTGCACACATAAATGATTCCATTTATGAATAAAAAATAAAGTCATGAAATTGTTTTTACGCAAAATTTAAAGGAAGGGTACCATGGGCATTCGAGGGACATTTCCTTGACTACTGCCCATACGTCCTTGTGTAAATGCTCGAGCAGTAGCATCCACTAATTTCTGAGCCTGTTCCTCCATCCATTTTTGATAGAACATCCGCACATTTTCCTGAAATGGGCGTTTTAAAAAAAACCAATTTGCCAAAAAAGTAAGAAAAATTTTTTGTTCAATTCTCGACTCTGATCCTTCAATCTGTACAGACGAATTCGCTTAGATTTCAAAACTGAACTACAAAAAAGCAATAGAACTGTAAACAGCACAATTAGTGAAATACAGCTCGTTCGACATTTATGAAGAAATTCCGCACTGAATAGTGTAATTAAAAAATGACTGGCACCAGTGAGTAAAGAGTGATATTATGGGTTAAAGACTTGTACTATATCTAAAAGCTACCCTGAAATTATAAGCACCATTATGGGTGCAAAACTGCATCACATTCAGTAACTATCAGCCTTTTTCTTTTACAAAAGCTCTCAAAACAGTTTCACAATGTCAGCGATCAAATTCTCTTTCTACATATAATAATTTGAACTAACCTTGTGCTTTCGCCCACCATTATGAGTTTTTCGAACAGATGGTGAGTCGTGTGTCAAGAAGGTGTCACAGTAATCACAATAATACTTCGGCATATCTCTAAACGAAATAATCTCTCGATGAGACACCAAATATACTTCTCCTGCTCTTCCTCAAGCGTTTCTCAGCTGCAATTACTTACAATCTCGTATCAATGACAACAATTCATTCTACCTACATAGTTCAAACTAATGTTTCTGCAACTACTTTGAGATAATTGTTATGAGAAAAAACATCGGACAGAAAATTTCCAGGAAATAATCTACATTTCAAAAATGTTTGGGCAGTCTCCTTCATTACAAATTGTGCACAAGCCTTAAAAGATTGCAGTGGATAGATTAAAGTGAAGAGAATAGTGTAGCAGCTAGAAATTGGAGGTGGAAACTAGGCAGAAATAACAAACCTAGAAGAATCGAAGCGTTTAAAATAAGCAACAAGTTAAACCAAAGAATTGAAACTTGAAGACAAGCTGAAATTTCGATAAAACCAGCCCCGGTACGAAAATAGACTTGTCTCACCTGAAAATTTAATTGTATAATTTGCGACGATCGATAGAAATGTCCAGAGTACTCATTAGGTCAGACACTGGTACTACGGCGGTGACCGAAGAACCAAGTAGAATTTCAACGCTAACGCAAAAGGGATTCTCAAACGGAACAATAGGCTGTTAAAAAGCCGGATATACCAGGCCTTTGGGGGTTGTGGACTCATATAAGGCCTTTGAAACTCAAATTATTCAATGATCCATCATAAGAAGCATTCCAATTTTTTTTTTTTTGAAGACGAGTAAAGGTTCGAGTGCGGAGATGAATATCTTTCATTATTTTCTTCAGGATATTCATCTTCCCTATTCGGAATAATCGTTACATGTAGAAAAAGGTTAAGTAAACTTTTTCTTACATCTATCTTTTCCATAGCATTGACCATAACAGCCAATCAACTAGTCATATGGCATGAGGATATTGTAATTTAATTGGATTACAACAAAGAATAATGGGTTAGAAAAGTTCTACGAAGGTTATTAGCCCAAGAGAGAACTTTTTCTAAACATCAATGAATGATGCCAATTTTCATTCCACTGTTATTTGACTTTATGAATTATTACGGGAGTTCAAAGATAGAACTCGAAGAACAAAATATCTAAAAGCTTTGCTTTTGGAGAGAAATATTTACAATTATTTCACATCATTTTAATACCACTTTGTTGCAGTGAATGTTGTACGCGTGGACGTTTGATTTAAATGTGAAATTACGAAATACCCGACTGCAATATTTATACGATAGATAGAATTTGCTATTTCTGAAGAATGATATTTACAATTATTTCACATCATTTTATACCACTTTGTTGCAGTGAATGTTGTACGCGTGGGCGTTTGATTTAAATGTGAAATTACGAAATATTCGACTGCAGTATTTATACGATGGATAGAATTTGCTAGATATTCTGATATTTTGAGCTATAAATTGTAGAACCATAATTCTTTGATCTTCCTGTAGAATTTAATAATAGTCGATGTGATATTTTTGAATCAACTAAGGATACTGAGAGAAAAAAGATTTTAAATAACAAAAGAAAAGACAAATGAAACAAATCATTTCACGACAAGCAATTATCTTAATTTGTAATTTTGATACCTTAATTGTTGAATTTTAAACCTTATTAACAAAATAATTAACCTAAAAAATTAGTGCATGAATGAATATAACCTTCATCTAGTTCTTCTCATAATTCTTATCCTTCAAGATATTTTAAAAGCTTCAGCATATTTTTGATTTCATTTGGTAATATAATTTTGGCTTGTACTTCTTTTAGATGTGAACTCTTCCTGACCTTTATTTTTTCTAGAACGTTAGGTTGAAAAGATGATTGAAACATCCATTCAATCATGCAATTCTAGCAGTTATTTATTTGAATTTTATTTGAATATCGGCCAAGAAAAAGAAATCAGAAGTTGTATGATGACTGGTAAGATATAATTTTTTTTAGTTAATACCTTCAAAAGTTGACAGATAAATTATGCACTGCTAAACAAAATGTTTTTTGACAGTAATAATTAATAAGATAAATTCCATATAGAACTTTTGTTTCATATTATGGTTGCATGAATTGAGAACTATAATGGAAACAAAGTGGATGGAATGGGCGATTTTTTCAAATTATCTGACGTAGTGTTTTAAAGTATCTCATCTATAACTTCAGAGAAACCAATACGACCGTTTCCGAAATCATAGATATTGCAATAAGAACGGATAAAGACATCACCAAGAATCCATGATGGACTAAATCCAATACCAAAATTCTCGAATGCAGCAAAAATACATATTGAATATTGAGAGTTATCGGTATACTGCAAAACAGATAATAACAAAATAGAGTATATTAATTGATTACAAAAAAAAAATTTTGCGTGCATTATATTTTTCTCGTGAAGAATATGCCATAGCATTAAAAACTGTTAATTTTTATACAGGTGAATAATATCGATTTGATTTTATGATATATCAAAAATATTCTGAAAATCTTTCATATGATAAATTATTTTTTAGATTGATAGAATGAAATTAACAATGCAATATACCGTTTGAATATATTGATTGGGTAATATTGAGTAATAAATGCTGCCTATCTTAATTTGAATAGAAGGACCAATATATTGCGTGATGCAGTCAACCACGTAAGCTTCATATACAAATGAATACGTAGCATTAATCTTTTCCAGGATTGGTTTCATAAGAAATGATGGTATTTGCAAGAAGGATGTTCCGGAATCGGAGATTGCTTGTTGCCAACCAGTGCTCTCGTATGTTTGAACTCTCACACTGTACAAAACGTAAATTTTAGTTTAAATGATACGAAATTTTAAGTGATCAAGCATTTCTGGTAAATGAGATGGATCGCAAAAGAAATATGAATTTTAAAACAATGATTGCAGGGAATAAGGAAGAAATGTTGCAGCAAGTCGATAAAAATTTCTTGGAAATTTTTTTTATTTGAGACTGATTTTGATGCGATGAAATTGCTAATTGAAGGTTGTTAAAGTTTGTTTACCCTTGTATGGTAAATTGCCAGAAAGTCTGTGAGGTTAACTGTACCCAGTTAATCACTGGATCGCAATTTTCGTAATCAGAACTACCAAAGGTAATTACGCCTTTACCACTTTCTCGTCTGCAAGTTACACTTTAAAAAGCATTTTGATAAATTGAATTACAATTATACAATTATACTCTGACACATTTCTTTCGACAAATTCAAAAATCGATCAATAATCCATCTTATTTTCATCTTTCAAATTATAAACTTTCTGATATATCTCTTACAACATATTTCGTATTGAAAAATAAAGCTCAAAATTGATTCACTTAAATTCACTTAAAAAATAAATGACTTACGATTTTATAGCTTTTTATGATTAATCGCTATAATAATATAATGTTCGTTAAATGATTATCGCTAATAATTAATTACGATAAGATACCAGAAAACCTACTGAGACATGTAAATTGCTATTATTGGCAAATCTAATTCGCCAATTATATTTTGTATCGGTGTGGTAACGTGAAAAGATGAAAGAGCTGGCCAAGCAAGACCCATAGTACCATCGATCGGAAGGTAACCGAAGAAATCGGCAAGATTATTTGCTAGACCGAATACTTGTCTTTTAATTGTGAAGTCAGCAAACTACAAATATTTGCTTTTTTAAACAGTATTTTTAAGATTTAAAAAATTAAAAAAAAGGAAATGAGCTAATTGTGCTACTAATTACAACGTAAGGTATTGTAATAATATTGTTATCATACAGAGAGAAATAAAATGAAAGTAATGAGCTAACAGATTTGTTATTTATGCTTATTGTAGTAATAATAAAATTACCTGAAGTTTGATTGAGCAGACAACTTCGGTATCTTACAAAAAAGCATTCGGTTCAGTTTATTTTAAAGGTTAAAAATATTGATGAATTAAAAACTCACGGAAAGTTGATCAATCCCAAGTATACCTTCAGAATAGCCTAATTCATAATTTATTGAAAAGTTGTGACCATAAGATGAATATGTTGAAGATATGCTATAAGAATTATCGAATGAATAACATAATAAAAATGCTTCACTCTGTTTCAAACAAATAATATCACAACTATTACATCTTAATATCTTATTTAATTCGATGGCTTACATCTTTTTGTCATCAAATGAATTCATTCAATAGAATCAACCAATATTTGCTAACTTCAATTGATAATCTGTTTATCACTTATAAGAGATACTTTTGAAGCAATAGTAAAAACCTTGGATCAAACTGATTTTTCACGTATATTTCACTTCCTGCGCATGATTCACTGTTACAATCAGTTGAAACAACCCATAAATCTGAGCTTCCTGTATCAGGAACAATTTCGAAATGTTGTGCTGAAAACAAGAAATTTTATAGAATTTCAGGCAAAGTGTCATCAGTACAATGATTGTCCAATTATTCGTCCCCTTAGAATCCATAACTCTAGCAAATCCTTATAATGTCAAAAACATGAACTATGATCACTAGTGCCAAAAAATATCTTCATATGAAGTAAATTTTGCTGAGTTTCAAAGTTCTCCAAGGTAGCCTTTCAGATAGCTATGTAATACTTTGCAGGATCATACAGTACTTGGAAATATGTTTTTTAGAAGTGTTTTATAAGTTTAATGTTTTTCTTATAGATTTCTATGTGAGAAAAAAAAGGATGAAACGGAACAGAAATAGACATACGTGGTGATCCGATGGTAATGTTGATTACATAAAGATTATCCATGTATTCTATATATTGAAAAATTCCACTTTGTTTCAGTGATGATTGGACTAGCCGTTTGTATTCCTTCAATTTCCCCGTTCTATAATTATTTAATATTGAATTACATAAAATTTCCAGAAAGTTCTTTATAGGTATTTTAGGTACTTCAGGGATTGCACTGTTATTTTTCTTCTCATTCATCGAACATGAATGAAATGAAAATAAAGTTTTGTATGTGTACTACAATTAATACGCTTTGGATTATCGCATTTCTCCCCGTTCTTCAATTAATTATCCAATTGATTTAAAAAAGTACCATAAAAGCAACGATTGATTTATAAAGCACCGTAAAAGTAATGATTGATTTATAAAGTACCGTAACAGTTGTTGACGGATGGATGCAGTTTTCTTCATAGTGACACGATGTATAGCTGCATGAACTGTGAACACTATATAATATAAAACTATCAAAATCATTTCAATTTTCATTGCCTAAAACAATAATGACATTAATTGGAATAAATAGGATAAAACGTGAAAGTCACGTTTGAAGATTACGGTAGCTAATGCTAATGACATAAAAACGTAATAATAGAAATAATATCATTACTATCACAATACAATATTTTTCATATCATTGAACTTCCACCTCAATCATTTATATGAAATTTATGATTATCGTACAAATTAGATGATAATGCGAATAATAGTTTTGATATGATATTATTTAAATTCTAAAACGAAAAAAAATATGAATTTTAAAATTAATTTAATTCATATTATCAATCTTCAACTTATATAGCTGCCAAAGTATAGTTGAAATTAAAAATGATTAAATGACTGGATGCAATGGTTGCAATGAATGATTGAAATAAGTAATCAGTTCTTATTTGTTTGATAAGGCGATTAGGTGCACTTTTTACACATCTCAACTTCTAAAGCCTAATTTCCATGTATATATCATTCGCGGCAAAAGAAAATTGATCATTTGCTGTATTGATAGAATGATTAAATTGCTCATAGCTTATCAATATATCAATATAATTTTCAGCTTAGGTATCATTCTGGAAAACATATACCTCAAAAATTATAGTCATTAATTCGTCTTCTTTTAGATTTGATGAGCATACTATTTCATGTACTTTATTCGTCTGTCATTGTCGTAGATAAAACAAGAGAAAAAATTTTTTTTTAATTTAGCTTATATTAATTATTCATGAATAGCAAACAAACAAAAATGATAAGTGATAAACTTGTGTCTGATTACTTATGATTGCTTATCAAAAAAAAAGGGAGAAAACTTTATAAGCGTTTGTATAAAGCGAAATAGAACTTTACATTACTAATTTGTCATTTATTTTTACTAAAAATTGAATTCCATTATTGCTAGTCTATAAATCATTCAAATTCAGAAATATTCTATGTTATCATACTAATTGCGGCTAAAGTTAAAAACAGCCATCTTCTTCAACCAGTCTTATTTGTTTCGTTTCGATTCCCATGATCGAAAAAAGCTTTAACACCTGAGGTCACATATCAAATGATAGCATTAATTGCATTTGTATCAAATTGCAAAATTGAATCTAAAGGTCATAGACTTTAGAATGCTATTAGTGCTTCTGAAGAAAGAAAATGAAATTTATGATATTTGCAAATGTTTTTTTCTTCAAACAGTAATTGCCTATTCTGTAATGGTTTTACTAAGAAAAAGTCTAGGGAAATAATTTATTGATAATCCAAGACCACATAAAATATTCTATTCATTTATACAGTAAGTATTCATTGATAGTATTTCATTGACAGTGGTGATATTTACAATTAAACTACAGCAGTGATTGTCTTATCAGTTCAGTTTCATGTTGTTGAAGAAGCGTTGTGATACCCCAAAAATATTAGTTCACAATTGAACATTTTCTACATACGTTGTGAACATTTCCTATTTCTATGCTGAAATTATTGTTTTTTTCAAATAGCTGATAGTAGTCTGTTTTTCCTTCCGAAAAATCATTTCTATATGCTTTTTTTTTAATTAAAGTTTGCTAATATTTTGCAAAAACTTAACAAGTAATTAGGTGTAGGAAATAATAACTGATGTATCATTCAATAATTTTCACTTTATCTACTACATTCTACGAATCCTATCAAATAATATTTTATAGTAAAATTCGAGTTTTTAATATCGACGATAATTGTTGTAAATGTTTTAGTTAAAATTGGGAATATTTCTTTCTTTCTAAAAAACTGTCCAATGTTGATATTCCCAAGGTCAAGATACGGTGTGTAAAGAAGCAAGAAAAAATTTTCTATTGTTTTAAACAAAACAGATCGATAGATATTTGCAATATCCAGACTAAAATCAATATCCATCCTTTTACTTTTGTGTATTGATCTTTATGATAAATGAACAGGTTCCGGTGTAATTTTGATAACTTTATTAATAATTATCAAAATAATGAATTAAAATTCTTGAAGGAAATGTAGACTTTTTGCTTCAATTTTATATGTAGTTGTCACAAGTAATTGCTTGTGATTTGCTTTAATAAATTTTGCGCAACTGAACTTAAGCTGTATCAGTTGTTCAAATCTATTCAGAATTCTTAGCTACGAGTTATTTTATAGTTGATGATGGAAGTCTCACCAAAATGTATTGTTCTTGGACAAAACATCACGATAAAAATTTTAGGAAGAATTGATTGATTAGTGATCAAAGAGTGAGCGATATCTGAGATGCATTAATTCTTAAATGCAAATGCAACCAGTAAACTATCTGAGAAATACCAGAATTTTAATAGATGGAATGTATTCATTTAATATATACAATTCATTAAAAAATATCAGATACCATTTACATCTTACAAATTTTTCAAAATTTAAAAAACTGAAGATAGGATGAAACTGATGGTAGAGAATAAGAAACACTGCAAGAAGAAATGCAAAATCATTTTATGCCATAATTATGATGTTGTAAAATTAATTCTTCTATCCATGATAGGTAACCGAATTTTTTTCAGTTTCATGCAAAATCATTTTGTAAAGTAATTCAGGATTTCTTATTCTTGATTTCAGCTCATCCCATAAATAAACGATCAAATTCTCAGTGGTACTTACGTTATTTTTAAAATAAACAACATCTTTATCCAAATTCTTATGATCCACTTCATCCAATACGCTTTTCATTTCATTTTTCAGATTAGCCAAATTATACACCTGCAAATCTCAGAACAATAAATAATAATAATAAGCATTCAAAATAAGAAGTAAAATTTCTTTTTCTTTTTTCAGTTCTTAGTAATGATAACCGTTCGTTGGTATTATCTTCAGTCTGGTAGGAATATTCAAATAAGCTAAGCAAATCATATTTTCTATAACATAAGCAATTGATTCTTATTTCTTTTAAAGTCCTAATAAATAGATCGAATGAACGGTGATCAATTTCAATTTTTGCAAGGAGAAAAATTTCCTTGCAAAATGAATAGTTTAACCCTAACCGCAAAATAATCCCAATTCATTTCTATAATACTATACATCCCACAATGACTGATAAAGTTTGTAAAGCTCTTTTATTATTTTTGCTTAAGAGACATACTATTTACCATTCCAGATTTTGGATTGATTGGTCCTCGAAGTGTTACTTCCCAAGTATAGTTATGCCCATGACCATTCAAATTGTTACATTTACCATACAACTGTTCATTTTCAATATCACTCAATGACGCATTTTGTAAGCGATGACTGGCCGAAAAGACTTCACGACGTGTTAATTCTACTAATCCCATTGAAACCTGTTAAGATTTCTTCTAAAACAAATCTCTGTCGAAATATTTCATCGTAGACTATTAAGATATCAAGCATACCTTACCATTTTTTTCTGATCTTAAACCAAATCGTATTCGCAAAGTCATGAATGCGTATCAATGCTATATGAATAAATCTAATATCACAAACTTCAACTTACTATTCTTGCTATTATCAGATATCATGTAAATTAAAATTGCTCTAGCCAATTTCTCCACTGACATTTGCAACACACTTTTTTTTAATTTTTCAATGCTTTCTTTTTCGTTCTTCCAAACAGGAATGCCAGAATTCAAAGTTTCTCAACTAGAACGCCTCTCTCAATCACCTATGCATAATTTACAAATACAGAATTTTGTCGCAGATGTACCCATGCAATATGTGTATAATCTTTTCTTCTTTCCATTCAGATAACAAATAAAATTCGTTTTATACACTGTACAAGTAGGAATACATATATGAAATCAAGACATAAATAATATAAAATCATCATAAACTGATATCCCCGAAATGAGCAAAGCACAAAAACAATAGGTGAAAGAATCAATCCAGACTAAATTACAGCAATTTTGAGCATATCTATCAGAATCTTATAAAAATGACTGGTACTTAATTTTTTTCTCAGCAGACATTGATTTCCCCTATAATTCCGTATAAATCGGCTTCTTTTAAAATAAATATAAATCAGCATTATTAAATTAGCAAATATCTATTTAGGAAAGAGTAAGCACTTGCTGATTTAAACAGTGCTTATATCAGATTAAATGAAACATTTAATTTCGCACTAAAGAACTGACCCGGCACTGACTGAACGAAAAGACATGGGATGAAGAGGTAGAAAGCCTTATTTTGCTTGATTTCAAATATTTTGTTTTTTCCTCCTTAGTTTTTTAAAAAAGAAGTGAATGAAGGAGATGAAAGAAGAATAAGTAAAAATGTGTCTTGTAAGTATCAGTATATTAAATACAGATAGGTGAATCACATCTCTTTTTTCCAATTTATGCTGCTAACGGAACGAAGCTCTGCATAAGGGACATGTTGACTGATTGCTTGAATCGAACCATTTGTACTGCAAATAATAATTTAAACTGAGCGTTGAGTTGTCATAAAAGTAAAACATGAATTTCCACAAATTACACTGTGGAGGGATAGCGCGTCTTGCTGGCATATAGCATAATGCAGCCGAGTTTGATCGTGAAATTAAATGATGAGGCAATTTTTTTCCATTATTATTGAAGTTTTTCAGAATTACACCACAACAGTTTGTTTCACACTGCAATCCTGACCATTTAAGTTTGCTCCATATTTTAATTTAACGGCCTGAGTGAAATGAAATATTGAAATCAATACCACGTAGGAGTAGTTTGCTTATGGCAACTGCTTGTAATTGCAACTGTTACCTTCTTTCATCGTGAATGTGTGCTCTTTCATTCAGTTCTAATGGTTATATTACAAAAAATGATTCGCGACAAAATGATAACATTACCACCACACTGCTCCGTCTTGAAATATTAGAAAAAGACAAAAATTAGATTTGAGGAACTTACAAGGCAATCAGAATGGAATCGCTTTCTACATTGTTTACATCGTACCCGTGGTAACTGATAGGTTCTTGAATGAACAGTCATCATGCAAATGGTACAATCTTCTGCACCATCCATATGTTTCTCGATGTTACCCGCCCACATTAACACTGCATCCACAATGGAACCATTCTGCAACAGTGAAAGTATATGAAGCATAAGTAAAAAAAAGTATAATTTTGTAAAGCAGTTCTAACAAAAAACAATTTGTTTGAAATCCTTTTTAGTCTTTAATGGACACATAATACCTGTAAATAAATAAACTAAAAGCTTTAGAAAACTTTAAAAGCAATTTTGAAATGATACAAGAACTAATACCAATCAAAATATTTTGAAGCCCATTACATAAAAATCGAAAGATGAAATCTTTTTATTGAATGAATAATGGTGCAGTATAATAACGTGTATAATTTATAAAATTATAATACCTGATGAGTGAGAAACATAGTAAGCTGCAAAAGCCATTTCCTTCTTGTTTCTCGACTCACGATGGTTCTTTCATCTTCGATCAAAGGAACGCTGAGTGGGTAATCTACGGGATATTCTATTGTAAGGGTCATAGTCGAGTCTTCCAAATCGTATTCTGCCACAATTTGTCGAGCTCCTCGCAACAACCGGACCTGCAACGGCTAGCACTTCGTGAGCTCTAGCAGCAGTACTAATGTAATTACTAAGTGGTAGGAAATGATGGAGCAGAAAACTGTAAGCATCAAATTGTTTTCAACAGCTACCGTCTGTGTTCTACGGCGTTCCATGACTACTCAACTTATAGTGATAAAATTTTCCGCTAGAAAGGTATAGAAGAAAAATAGAACTTTCTACATTAGGTATTACACAAAATTCTTCTGAGATCTCAGAATTCCAAGCCTAGAAATTCTACTCTTCGTGAAGTTGCAGACAGAAGTAGTATGCACATATACAAAATTAAGAAAATAGCATTAAAGTAATTAGAGAAACTCTGCGACAAAAAGGTACCTTTAACTTATTCGGCATTTTACGAGATGAAAACTGATCACATTCTGTTTTCCAGATCACTGGAGTAATTGATTTGGTGACAAACCTAAAAAAGCACCAAACTTAACTCATGCTCAAGAAATCTAACTAATTAATACATAAGAAAAGAAAAGACATATATAAAAAAAAACAAAACGAACGATCTACAAATAGTAGCGGCAGCACGAGGTAGCTTTATATACCATTGACGTACTATTGCCGGCAGTATTGCACAAGTGTTATAGAATAATCGAAAAGAATATCGTGGAAGCAATGATCTTACTTCATTCCAATAACCTGAAATAAATTTATAACTAATCTGTTGTGTATTCCATGTGTTGGCTTGGAAAAGAAATCAGTGACGAATACCTTTGTACTTCATATCCGTTAAAAAGATTTTAGCGCGTTGAAAAATTTTATCCAGAAGTAGATTAAACCTGATCATTTCAGTTCAATCCTTTTTTTAACCGTAAAAATTGTGTGTTAACAAAATTAAAAACTATCTCGAAACCAGCAACAAAATGCAATATTTTTTAAATACTGAACTTTGCTAAACTTTTTATATCTGTTGCTTATCGCTTCTTTTTCTAAAAAAAGTTCCTGAGAATTTTTTCTTAAAGGAGAATAGTGAACAACATAATACAAAACTGGCATACCTTCTTTGATAATATCATTAACTCCGACAAAGGTATTCGCACCTGCAAAAAAATTCATTACTTGCTGTTTCAAACCACCATTGTAATAAGTTTGTAACCTTTTCATTAATCCGTTATTTATCGGTTTCGAACAAAAGAACAATCGTCTACTTTTTTAATCAGCAAAAAAAAGTGATTAGAAAAACTTAAATAAATGAGGATCCGGAAGAAGGCCAAACAGATGAGGCATGATTTGATCGATGTATGGGCTCATAGCACTGCAATACGCCACCCTTTCGAGTGGTTCAAATTGGTTCAACGAACTGATAAAAGCATCCCAAATAAGCAACTTGGGTGGTAAAGTGCAACTGTTTATTGTAGTATCATCCAAAATACGCGTAAAAGGCACGGGCAAGTGTTTTTGATGATTAGAGGGAAGTTTCTCATCTCCCACATCATTTTCTTCGTTGCGCTTATTTTGTATCTTGAACATATCCTTCGTTATTCTGCAAAAAAAGAAGAAAAATATCCATAACACAAAGTTGACGAATGGATCAACATCACCGAAAAAAAAAGGTACTATTACTTTCCTACTACTGACACTTTCATGGCGTCAATACGTGTTGTAATCTACTCTAAAAGCAAGTGAAAATTTTTCGAATGTTCTTAAGAAATGTCGCCTACTGAAGTATTAAGAAGATCCACTATTTCAAGTAAAACTTTTCTAAGCCTCGTGATCAGAACACAAACTTACAACTTCAGTATTTTTAGTGCAGCGATTTGGATATCTGAAAAAGACGAATTGATCAACGCATGTAAAGGTATCACGATTGACTGCAGACGTTCATCATAGCTGAAAATGGTGATGAAAAATAAAAAAAAAAGCTGAAAATAATTATAATCAATAGAAATTAATTTTGTGGACACTTTAGTTTTTTGAAATCAACGGCACCATAGTAATTAAATTACTAATAGAGTCATTTCACAATTCTAATATCGCATTATGGTAGGAAATATAGCTTCTATGTGATTTCCTATCCATTCTTTCTTCTATAT